TTTAATGAACTTGCGAAAATAACCCGCGAGTCCCATAAACTGGCGAATACCTTTAACACTTGTCGGAGAAGGTGATTGGGTTAGCGCATTCACTTTTCTCGGACTAGGGCGAATTGTTCCTTCACTCAATAGGACACCAAGATACTCTATCTGTTTCTCAAAAAATTTACACTTTTCATAGTTCAAGGAAAATCCATGAATAGCCAAAGCACTCAACACTTCCTCCAGATATTGCAAGCCGTCTTCTATTGTCGCCGACGGCACGAGCACATCATCAAGGTAGACAAAAGCCTTATTACCTTTCAGGTCTCCCAAAGCTTCGTCAATTGCTCGCTGATATATTGCCGGGGCATTGACATATCCAAAAGGCATACGGTTAAATTCATAGAGCCCATCTGGTGTGATAAACGCAGTAATGTGTCTGGAACTTTCCTCAATTTCCATTTGATAAAAACCAGACTTCATATCTAGTGTAGTGAAGTATTTGGCGTGAGACAATGAGTTCACCTGTTCTTCGATAACGGGTAGAGGGTATATTTCTTTATAAACACGTTTGTTTATATCTCGGTAATCAACACACATCCTTGTCTCATTGTTCTTCTTTTTAACTAGAACAATAGGACTGGCATATTCTGAACGACTCTTTCGGATGATTCCTTTAGACAAAAGATCGTCAATTATTTTGTTAACTTCTATTCGTTCTTGAAGTGCTAAACGACGTGCACGGTATGAAACCGGAGTACTGTCTTTTAATCGAATGGTCATTTTACCTGTTGTAATCGTTTCAGGCGTTTTGCTTTTATAGAGTGTTAGCAATTTCTCCACTTGTGGCTTTAAGCTGTCATCTAGGCCTTGCTGATTTATCTTAACATCCACAGAAGTCTTTAGGGTGAACAATTTCATCGCATTAACTGGTTCACAATGTAAATCCAGGCCATCGGCATTCTTTTCAACTCGCACAGATGGTCGACCGATAACATCCCATCCAATAATAACGTCAACATCACCCGGAATAGCACTGTCACACACCACGGTGAAAGTTATCTCTAAAGTCACATTTGGCAGAACGACTATCAGGTCGCTCACACCCTCGGCGTAAACAGATTTGTTCCCGAGTCCCGAAAAGGCACGCACTTGTTCGGATGACCTGACAATGCCATTAATTGTTCTTATGACAGAGCGTTTCACTATGGATACATCGGCACCACTGTCAATGATGTAGGTAAATAATGTTGCTTGGTTATTACACAATAATGTTGCTATCGGAGTAACTTGTAGCTGGCGTCGTTTCTTCAATACAAATGCTTTCTTGGGCCTCCCATGTTTTGACCAGCAATTTGATTCACTGTGCCCCATCTTTTTGCAATAAGTGCAAGATGGCACGGCAGTAGTTTCGGCTTTTTCATCAACTTCCACTGTTTTGTCCATTTGCACGACACGACATGTATTCTGGTGATGTCCCCTGCGACCACAGTTGAAACAAGTACTTTTAATTATTTTAGCTGGTTTCTGGTTGTAGTGGTTCTTAGAATGATGTTCTGATCTGTAGGTTGATCCTGTGAGTGCGCTAGCTCTCCTGAATTTGCTTGACCGGCCAACTTGGCGCGCATCCATTTCGCAAAACAGCTTCATTAACTCTCGCTCTGAGTCCGGAATTTGAATGCGCAAAGTAGAACGGGCTTCTGTGTTATCCAGCCCATATTCCACCATGCTAAGTACCTTGTTCCATGGCAAGTTTTCTTGGAATCTGCGAATATAACGTAGCTTTTGGTTGCCATATTCGCATAAAGTTTCACAATCGTTACTCCGGAGTGTAGCTGCCTTAAAAGCACGGGCACCTGGAGTCTCCTGGTCTGGAAAGGCTACCACTAGGTCGTCACAGAATATTTTCCAGGTTCGGCATCTCGGTCTCCAATCGCAACAGTATTGATACGCACGATTTTTGAGAGCTTCGCTAGCCTTAGCAATCATTAAATTATCACTGATACCTAGTTCATCTTTAAGCTTCGTAGCGTCATCCAGCCATTCCCCGATGGAGTATGCAGTTTTGTCGGGATCGAACGTAGTGAGCTTAAACGACGTATGTCCAGACATCGTAGCCTGTGTGCCATCTACGATGGTATCCCTGGGTGTTGGCGGGGCGGACGATGTCATTCTGTACTGCCGAGTTAACTCGGCTAACTGTTGCTGTTGTGCAGCCACTAAGTTCATCAATGTCTCCTGCCACTCAACTTTCCGCCGTTTAGGAGTTGGCGGAGACATAGCCACTTCCTCGGTATCCACTTCGGCACTACACGCGACTTCGACACTTTCGCGACGAGGACTGTTTTCTTCCGACATTGTTCCCTTTTTTTTTTTTGTCCAATATAAAGTGGAAAATGCGGCACGGATGTAATCCCACTTCTGATGTAAGAAACGGGGTAGATTTGATTTGGCTTTTACCCCAAAAAAAATACACGTCTATCCCCAATCAATACTTTATTCCGAGTACTACCATTTACTCGTATTTAGGCACAATTTGTTTGGCTGTCGGTACGTGACTGTCGTCATCTTCGCTACTACCTGCGAGGGATCGCAGGTAGTAGTCGTCCCCGGACCCCTCGTGCTTCTCCTTCCGTCGCAGAAGATAACGATATCATTTCACCCTTTTATGAGGAATTATGGGTAGCCACAGCGGCGCCGCTAACATACTTACGAATGAAATGTTAAAGATTTCGCTCCAGGCTCCTCCTGATGTTTATAAGTTTTACACAAATAGCGCTGCTGCACCATTTTATTGCGATTCAATATACCTTTATAGTCTCTCTAAAATGGATAATTATGGAAGAAACTTGATATCTCAATCATAAATAAAAGCCGCAACGAATATGACTATCAAAACAAGTTTTGACAATTAAAACAAAATGGCAGTTGTTTAGTAACTTAAATAAGTGCTACCAATCTATATATATATATATATATATATATATATATATATATATATATACTATAGACAGCCTAAGTCGTGACGTCACAGTTATGGGCGGAGCCGAAATTGACTCCAAACTTCCAAACTATTGGTAAATTGCCATAAGGAATTTTTCGTTTTATATTTTTTGGGCTTCTATAACAAAATAATCATTATAGTGTGGATATTTCATTAAAGCAACGTATTGGTTAAGTGAAGTGCATAAGTTTTTGGGCAGCTTAGTCAGTTTTATGGAATAATTGTGCTTGAAAAAGTTTGAAGGTTATGATTTTTGTTTTGTTATTATTAGATTGTGTTTTAATTTCCAGGTATTTTGAGCAAAATGACTTCAAAACATATTTTAAAACTGTCTTCTATTAATGGTTTCTTGGATAATGACATGATAATAAAAAGGGAGAAAATGCGTTAGAAACCATGTCAAGAAAATACAGTTTGACTCTAATTTAATGATAATAAGTGGGGAAATATTAGCCGGTATGAAAAATAAAAGCTATAATGTACGATTATCTTATCTACTTATTATACCGAGAAAAGTGTGGCGATATTCAATCGGCAAGATGTAATTGTCCAAAAGGAATAAAATGTCATCACATTGCAGCTTTGGCACTTTTTGGGCATTACAATATCTCAGTAACAGATAAAGCTTGTTTAAGGAATGTCCCAGCTAAACCTAAGTCTGAGCCGGTACAATCTGCTGAAGAACTTTATCCGCCAAAGCCATATAAATCTCTTGAACATCAAGTACCAGAAAAATCAATTGAAAGATTGAGGGAGAAGCTAGGTAGCTTTGGGAATACTGTGAGATTTACTTGGTTGTTGAACAAGGAATCTGAAAATCCTATGAATAATTTCCCTATGCTTGAAGAAATTATTTCTTCCAAGGAGTTTTTGGAAGCCACAGATAAAATCCATATCTTCAAAGAAAAATGTGCCATGGATGATAACTCAATACTTGACATTGCTGCTGCCACTACTGGTCAAGCTTCAAATGAAAAGTGGTATCTTGCCAGGAAATTTCGTTTGACTGCAAGTAGTTTTGGATTGATAATTTCTGCATGCATAAAAAAGAGGTTTCCAGATAGTTTGTTCAAAACACTTTTAGGTGAGTGAGTACTATATTGTTTTAAATGTTCGTCATATATGGATATAGTGTCAACACAAATCCTTTACTTTTATAGATATTTTTTATGCACAGTCAATCAAAGTTAGATAAGCAGTAATGAAATAATAAGAAAGACAGAGAGCTAATTCATTCTTACTGTTTCATGAAAGAAGTCGACTGCATAATTTCTTTCCATCTCAATTTCTTCCCTGCAGAGTTTGCATTTTTTCCCAATACTGAAGTATTGTTCATTTTGTAATATTTCTTTTATTTTATATATTGTCACCACAACCCATCAAATCAATTCTTTTTCCAGGTGAATATAATCTGGATGGCATTAAAGCAATTCAATGGGGCAGAACTCATGAAAAAGATGCATTAGATTATTTGAAACATTATAATTTAAATATTCAATCAACAGGAGTATGGCTTACAAATTCAGGACTCTTTGGAGCTAGTCCTGAAGAAGATGCCATTGTGGAAGTGAAATGTCCATATTCCTTTAGAAATGATAATTTAACAGACAAATTATGTAACCTAACAAATTACATTATTTATTATGATGATGAAGGAAATTTGTTACTAAATAAAAGTCACAATTATTATCATCAAATTCAAGGTAGTCTACATATTTTTAAAAAAAAAAATGTTACCTCTGTATTTGGACATTAAATGGCGCAATTGTTGCAAATGTAGATTATGATGAGTTATGGAAGGTAAATATTTTTCTTTTAGAAAATTTCTACATAGAACATTATTTACCAAAATTGTTAGGAAATTAAATAAATATGTTTTGAATAAATACGACTTTTATTTACTGATGTATACGTAATCAACAGTGGAAGCACAAAAATCAAAGCAAGCAGTCAAGAGTTTGGTGCTCCTGCTACACTTTTAGATAAAATATAATTATACACTAGAAGTTTCTAAATGAAATTAAGTACATTGTGATCATTTTTACCTGATAACATTTGAATCTGTTATAACTTTTGCTAATAAAGGTATTAATTTGAGTCGAAAAATAAATTCTAATCACTTAATAACTAACCAATGTTTTTTTATCCAAACTATAAACTTTAATAGTGAGACAGTTTTCGCAGATTGAAATGTTATCGCACAAAAATCATAACTGTTCATAGAAAAACTATAAGTATAAACTAAAAATAAAACCAAATGTTCTTCTACTATAACAGTTTAATAATATTCTTCAACTTCTTTAATTAGCGGATATTGAAAGTTTGTTAAAGCTGCACACAGTTGAAAAATAACTGAAATTTGGGATATATAATAAGGTGGAACCTGCTACAAAATATTATAACATTTTATTCTTCTGATGGCTCTTTCTACATGAATTCTGGCTTTTGCAATTTGCTGTGTTTCATATAGGGGAGACTCGAGCAAAAAGAACCATAAGGGCAAAAGGAATCAGTTAAAAAAAATTATTTCAAACTTCCCGCCACTATTTTCTATTTACTTCTGGCAGATACTGAAGTTCTCCAGTGTTTGTTTTGATACCCATCCCGGTAAGCTTATTTTTCATGTTTTTACCGCTAATTTAGAAAATGTAACCATCTTGAACTCTTGATCATGGTTTAAATAGATGGAAATTATTTTAGTATTGTTAAAAGTTGAAGTATTGAATTATGTGGCCATGAATAACGTTTTGTGTAGATTCTAACCTCACAGTAATTGTGGCGCTGATCAAGGGTTTGACATTTATAAATAATATTTTAATCTGTTGCATACATACTGGGCAAGAAGAACCAGGCAAAAAGAACCGGTTCTATTTGCCCGGCTCCTTTTGCCTGCTATTCCGTTGGATATACTTTTTTTTTAAATTGAATATTGTTTTAGAATAATGGTTTTCAATATAAACGAAAAACAGAAAGAGCCCAAGGACGGGACGAAAACGTAATGAATCGCGCAATAAATTCAATTAACCAAAGTGTAACATCTATTCACGGTGCCGCTCTGCAGTTTAGAATTCCATATCCCACTTTACGAAAACATTTTTTAAAGCAGCCCTCCAAAAAACAACTGTTTAGACTGTTTTTTCTGGCGATATAGAACAGCAACTTGTACAAGATATTCAAGAAATGGACGCTCGTTTTTATGGGTTCACAAAACAAGACTTGTGCATTTTAGCATTTGAGTTCGCAAATTGAAATAATTTGAATTTGCCACATCATTTTCGTAATGGAACAGCTGGGGAGCAATGGTACTCAAATGTTATGAGGCGATATTTATTAAGCCTTAGAACTCCATAACCTACAAGCATTGCCCGGGCTTGTGGATTTAACAGGCCCCAAGTCCAGTTACTTTTTGATTATTTAAATAATATAATGAATAAAATGTACCATGCCTCGTCTGCGGAGATATTTTTGGCAACTCTAAGTCTGACGAAACATGGATTGAATGCAATATGTGTCAAAACTGGGCTCATCAATTATGTGCTGATTACAACAGAGGTATCTACGAGTATATTTGCGACAAATGCAAGTTATCAGTTTTGATTTCCTTGAAATAAATAACTGTTAATATACTTTCACTTTTAGTTTTATTTGAAATAAAGCTCTTCTTGCCCATATGTATTTCATAAGCTGCTTACTTTTGCCCGAGGCGTTGGTTCTTATTGCCCTCATATGTGAGCAAAAGGAATCAAAAGCATGTTTTCGTTTAATGTTTTTTTAAGATATATTGCTATAATTATATATTTGTATAATATATATTTTGTTTCTAAATGTAATAGAGTCTTATTTCAAATTAAAAAACTAATAATTAGGATTTAATAGAAGATTTTAAAAGCTGGCCACTTAAGGTGGTTCCTTTTCCCGAGTCTCCCCTACCTGCGACTCTGTGAACTAGGGTGTAGTTAAAAAGGGTGGAATATTGAGCGACACTCCAGCAGGAAGAAGGTCTTTAATTAAAAAACCTTTGCTAGAATCATATCTCCAGGAACCATTTGATTTAAAACATTGCTCTGTTTAACAATCTTCTTGTCAGATATCGACCCTGGATAAGCTTTGCTAACAAATGTTGTTACCCCATTTGGTGCCACTCTTACCAAAAATTTCCATGTATTTTTGTGTTTATAAGAACTGTACGTCAACCTCTGATTTTCCATGCTTGCTGGAACTGTGGAGTAAATTTCTGTGGAGTCTAATATAATTCCACAATTTTTAAAATTAGTAAATGCAGCAGGAAGGCAGGTTTGGTTTCTTTAGCACTTCATGCAAAGCGTAAATCCAAGTCATAATAATAGTGGTAACAGTAGCTGTGCTGCAATTAAATCTAATACTCAGATCTTCATGGGGCAAATTCAGTCATAATTTCATCAGTGTCATCAGAAGCTGATCATCTTTGGGGATATGTTGAACATTCCAGCCACCATATTTTATTTGTATGTCATTCATTAGCTCAAAAAGCACAATGAATAATTCATTTGCTGGTATACCAGTGTACATTAATATATGAGCATCATTTTTTTATCACTTCATAACTAAACCGTGTTGTTAACTTCTCTAATTTTTCAGTTAATTCATTAACTTGTTGTTTCAAAAAATAAATCTCAGCATCTTGAGAAGCAGGTGATGGGCTGAGAAGTAAACTATCAAGTTTTAATCCAGTCACTGTTTGTTCTGGATTGTTAAAGGGTTTTGATGGTTCACTTGGCAGCTTGCCTTGAGTGGAGCAAGGCTGTGTAGAAAGGCCTGGTAGTGAGTCAGCAAATGATGACTGATTCTCCTGTTGCTTTACGGACCGCTTTCTAAAAAAAAACTCATATTATGATCATGCTTTTTATGCCATATGCACACCTTTTTTCTGGGGTTGTTATGTTGAATCGCTTTTTAATATTAAAATCAAATAATGTTGGTCCATTTTTCTTATCCTGATCTATAAAATGGCAATCACAAACTTTGGAGAATTGACTAGGACCTCTATATTTTTTCCTATAAATAAAAACAATTAAAAATGTATCTATAAAAACTAATGTATTATCCCTTTACCTTATAAGAGAAATCCATCTATTCCTTTCTGTCTTGTTTAAAGGAAACCGAAAAAATCTGCACGTTTGTTTTTCACTAGTGCTTGCAGTCAGGCACAAAGCACATTCCCATTATAATGAATTCGTGGACACCTTGAAATACATATAATTAAAACCAGGAACTCAGTTATTTCGTAAAATTTAAATCACATATAAACAACGACATTACCTTAAAAAGTTTTAAAACATTATTACTGTCCCAATATTACTTACTTGAAAAATAAATTAATACAAATCTAGTCAAAGACACGTTTTTAAAGTCAAATATTGCAGTTAAAGCTCTTATTTTCTCCTGGAAAATGACAAAAAACACTAAAAGAAAAATCCTTATGGGAATTTACCGTTATAACCGAATTTGTTTGGAGCCAATCTAAGCTCCGCCCATCGCTCTGACGTCAGACTTAAGCTGTCTATTGTCTTGCGATGCGCATAAATTAAGAATGAACAGATAAAAGCAACGTTGCCAGATCTTCAAGTCGATTATGGTATAATTTATGTAAGGTTCTTACTTGTATAACTATTTTGATATCAATCCATTGTAAGAAAATCATGATGTTAAGTACCCACGCATGCGCTGAAAAATTACCATTAACAGGGAATAATTTTAGTTACTGGAGGTTTGTGAATCTGTAGAACGACCAGAAACAAATCCGTTGTTTTGCTGCCGCATTTTGCGACAAGGCAACGTGTCGATTCACTTTGTATATGTCGTCAATAACCAGAAATGTAAACAAAGGGGTCTATCCTCGTTTTAAAGTCGATGAGCAACACGAATGTCGCCATGCTTTTGAGGTGAAGAACAAATATGACACAGAAAGAACGCCTGCCTACTCGGAACAATTCGACGAATGACATATGCCGAAATGTTTTTTACAGTGACATACGGCGATGCTATTGTGGTTGCCTACTGTCTCACGACAACTGTCACTCATTGTCATCTTCTTATTTTTATTTGATTGTTTTGAATGGTTTTCCTAATAACAAAAATCACTTTAGCATTAGGAAAAACAATTCACCTCACGTGGATTTGTGATTAAGTTCATTCAAGAGTAATAAATAAAACAATATAATTGGAAAAATAAGGTTATTCTGGTAGATAACGTAACGTGGTGCATTTGCAATATAGTGGAATGAAGAATCAGAAACCCCCATTGGAGGTTTCTGAATAATAATTCCAATATACAATAATAAAAACTACCAAATACCTATGATACCACACTCAAAAAAAAATCAATAATAAATATATTGTGAAATCTGTATGTAAACGGTATAAGATTTCGTTAATCAAACATAACATTTTACTTCTATATAAACATTAATTTGAAAAATTTAGCGTATATAGTAATGAAAACAAACATTTATTTTAAATGAGAAAACCTTGTATGTATATGGTACAGGACATATATAGTAATTTAATAACTGCATATAAAATTCTAAAAAATAAAATAAAACAATTCTATCACAATCTGGTAAAAATGTCCTGGTCAGGTATGTCACAGTCGGGTTTGTGATTTTTTATCCATGGTTAGGTTAGGTTTCTTGTGAGTGCATCAATAACGATCCTTCACTACGACTCTTTGGTCTATTATGGCTCACACCTATTTATATTTCCCCCAGTAGCTCCGCCTACTAAGGAAGTCGATCAACTTGTTTGGAGAAATATCTTTCAAGTCTTCTGCTTGGAGTACTACGTCTCCAAGTATGTTGTACTTGATTCTGGCAATTGCATTGCATCTGCACAATACATGCCTGACCGTTTCATCTCCCTCCATGCACAGCCTGCACTCAGCGTACTCCGCCATGCCCAGCCTGCTCATGTGGTGACACAATTTGCAATGACCAGTGTACAGTCCTAATTGATCTTTAAGGCTATTCCTGTTCAGCCGTAGCAAAGAATCTGTTACCTTCTTTGTCAAGATTGGTATAATTGCGTTAGCATGGGTTAACCCTGGTAATCCCTCCCAGTATTGATGGACCTTTCTGTCCATCTCTTCAGAGATTATATGTTTAGTCGTATTGTATGCGATCCCAACCGCTGGCTCAGGCCCTATGAAGGGTTTGCTAGCCCCACTCTTTGGCAGAGTGTCAGGTGTCTCGTTTCCCTCTAGACCTGTGTGTCCTGGTATCCATATGAGACGGATTTCATTTCCCTCCCCTATGCTATCGAGAGCTTCTTTGCAATTCCACACTAATTTCGATGTCGAGTAGGGGGAGTCAAGTGCTTTAAGTGCGGCTTGACTATCTGAAAAAATAGTTATAGTTCTGTGTCTCAGTGGTCGTTCTGCGATCATTCTGACACACAGTTCTATAACATATAGCTCTGCCTGGAATATCGATGTCCAGGTTCCTAAGCTAACAGATTTTTTTTAATCTTTAGCTTCGGCATGAATATACCAGCTCCAACACCTACCTCGGTCTTGGAGCCGTCTGTGTATGCACAGATACCTTTCCTTATCAGGTTAACTTGCTGTTCCCACTCATTCCTGTGTGGAGTTGTCATAGAGTAGGGTTTAGCATATCTTGTTATCTTTAGCATTATATCAGAAGGCATTCCCAGACTGGGGTAGTTTTGTAAGTTCGCCTGCATGTGCGTCTCCTCCATAGTGATATTGCCCATTATACTACTATATTTGCCACATGATGTCCTTCTTGCCTCGCCTTCCATGTATATGTGCAGGGGGGTAAATTAAGAAGGACCTCCATAGCTGCAGTTGGTGTGGTACGAAAGGCACCAGTGATCAACATAGAAACTTCTCTCTGTATTGCGCTCAGGTTGGCTTGGACAGCTCTTTGTGCTGCCTTGCCCCACCAAACTACAGATCCATAGGTTATCATAGGTATAATGATCATGGTATAAAGCCAAAACATTTGCTTACGCTTCATTCACCAGTTCTTTTCACAGACCCTTTGGCAGTTCCATAGTGAGACCCTTGCCTTCTTAAGGTCTGCTTCCAGATGCGAATTCCAGTTTAGTGTTTTATCTAAGATTATTCCTAGATATTTCGCCTCTTTTGCAAACGGTACATTTTCACCTTGGACTGTCAGAGGCTTAATCCCATCCAGTTTTTTCTTTCTGGTGAAAGGAACGATGGCCATTTTCTGAGGGTTGATTGACATTCCTTCCCCTTCGCACCAATCCGCTATTGCGGTTAACACCTCCTGGAGTGTTCCCGAGATATGTTCCCCAGATTTCCCTCCGTCTAGATCGTCTGCATATGCTTGAACCTTGGCCTCCCATCGGCGAATAATGGCAATCAGATTATCTACCAGGAGGGACCACGAAAGGGAAGATAACACCCTTCCCTGTGGACACCCCCTGACAGCCAAAATCTGAGTGTCTCCCCCTGTAAGGATGTTGTTGTGATTCTGCATGTCAACATGCATCTGATCCAGCTGCAGATCAGAGAATTCACACCCCTGGAGGCGATTGATTCATAGAGGGATTCTGGTAAGGCATTGTTAAATGCTCCCTCAATATCCAAGAATGCTTTGATGCTCGCAACCAAGTTGTTGAGAGCAAGTTCTGTTGATTTACCAGCCTGATAGGCATATTGATGCACTTTTAGAGGATGCCTCTTCAGAGCCCCCCCCCTTATGAAATCATCAATTGCCTTTTCAAGGCCTTTCAGCAGAAATGAGGTCAGACTAATTGGTCTGAGTAACTTCGCCACTGGATCTGTCCATCCAGGTTTGGGTATATAGTCTACCCTTGACACCTTCCAGCCATGTGGTATGTGATTCCACGGTGGGCTGGTTCTGTAGAGTGCTATGAGGAATGGCATCAATATATCCAGTCCAGCTTGTAGTAGAGCTGGATACATGCCATCCTTCCTGGTGATTTGAAGGACTTAGGTGGATGTCACCACGCTTGTCAAATTAAGAGTCCGTTATTCTCCACCTATATGGTAACAGTTCATCAAATACTGCTTCAACATCCGATCAACAAATTTCAGCAACCAATACCTACGAAATGTTGAAAACAAAATATTGTCAAAGTATGAGATGACAGCTTGTCTGTGAAACATCACCAGCTTATTGAATATTAAGAAATTACATATAATTCAGTCAAAATTTAAAGAAATGTTTGATTTTTGAATAAAATTCATGTTTCAATTACTATTGTTGATTTTTTATTCATGTTTATATTATTTTCTTCAATTGATATGTGATACTGGGTGTTTTTTCCTATAAACCTCTTGCAGATAGCCATTAAGCACCTACTTGATGACAGGCTCTACCAAAAGATATTGCTCGTTTCCAAACATTCATTCATTTACTTGCCGTTCATCAGAAACATTAAGGCACCTTAGATTGATATTCCCACAAAACCATTCAGGTTTTTTGATATCCATAAAGTTGAATATTTGTCGTTGTTCAGGAACTGAACAAACATCCACACTATATTTACAGCGATTAAGAAATACGCAAATATTATGTCGTAAAGCTACCAGCAAACCTAAAACCTGCAAAAAATCTAGAAATTCGCAATATTTTTCTGTTTTCACGAGTACACATTCTAGGTTATACAGGTTGAAGTTGAGTCATTAATTTTCAGATAATGATTGTAGAAGGAAGATAAACCAAAATATGTGTGTAAAAATCAAAAAAAAATTTAAAAAAAATTTTACCTTGTTTTATAAAGTATCCTCCCGACAAGTATTTCAGTGCGGACCTGTATTTGATCGTGAGGTCTTGGAGCACCGGCATGCCGTCCATATGTGAGGTCTTAAGTCAAATGATTCACGAACCCGTTGTACTACTACATTAACAAAGGCACGAGGGGTTGGTTGCACTCGATTGGGAAACCGATCCGCATAAACATGTGCCATTTTTTATTTCGTTTGAGCCACGCAATAGACACCACTATCCACTACCGACTGACACGGTCTGTATAGAACTGAATGAAATAATTGTAAAAACATCGTTCCAAATTATTTCGCTTTTTTGTTTCCGATGCGATGAACCGATAAGGCGAATTATATCCGTTGTCGCCAAACACGAGCACATAATATTATTATTGAGACAGGGCGGTACTCAAACTTCCAAAGGGCTATAACTTTGTTACTTTAATTTTACCAGAAAAATGGTAAAGGAAAAAACATTTCTTTTGACCAGATCTACACACTGTTAAAATAAATGACTCAACTTCGAAGTCACCCGTATAATTAGACATCATTTGAATAACAGCTGATTATTACATCTCAAAAATCCCCAACGAGTGACGACTGACGAGTGACACATGTGTGGGTTGTGGGATCCGTCAACCCTTGGTCGCAGTCACAAAACATTAATCAAATCCAAGCGAATAACCAAAATTTCTGTGTTATGTGCCGCGGTTATAATATGGTTCAAGATGACACACGGGTTGAT